AAATTGATCGTTTCGGATACTTAGTTTAATAATTTTTTCGTTTAATAATCCGTAAAAAAAAAAAAAAAAACAAGGTCACCGGGCCCTTTTTGACAGCGGACTGCATTATTTCAATAATAATAATAATAATAGTGATAATGATGATGATGGTAAATTTTTTTTTTTATCAAAGCTTCGGCATTGAGTAAACTTACGCTACCGTGAAATTTTCAACGATTTAATTAAATATCACGTAACGATCGATCACGATCGAATATGTCGTGATTTTTAAATCATTTAATCGTAAAAAAATAATTTAACAAAAATATCAAAATCAAATATAATAAAAATTATTTATTTAATGGATTTTATCGTAAAAACTAACGGAATAAATTAATAATAATAAAATGTTTTATATGTGACACGATTAATAATAAATTTTTTGCGATTTTAGGTCTTAACAAAATTCCTATACAATCACTTAGAGTTAATTAAAAGTTATTAAATAATTGACGTCATCGTATTAACTTGCAAATCGGTTAGAAATAACATGCTTGGATGTGTACTCAATTCTTTTAATGATTTTTAAAAAAATTTGTTTTTATATGCAGAAGAAAACTATCATCGGAAACTTCTGTTTTTTCATATTCCATCGTTCCACCTCAATTAGTTTTATCCGATTGTGTTAATTCAACTCAAGATCTGAGCCAATATCGGGAAAATAAAAAAAGTTTTAGACGTGCATTGCCGGAAGTAAGTCCAATTTTAAAGAAAACAAATTTAAAAAAAAATGATGATAATAATTTACGATTAATTATATTTACAGATTTTTGCAACATGTTCAGCCACGAGCTTTCACATAACGGTGGGTGTTACTTTTGCGAGTACTTCGTCATTAATGCCACAATTGGAAGAACCCGACAGCGATATAAAAGCAACAAAACCTGATTTGGCATGGATAGGTGATAAACATTTTCATTTCGTTAATTTATCATCCGTAAATTTTTTTTGTAAAATAATTATTTATTTATTTATTTATTTTCAGCTTCGATAATATTCATCGTTCTTCCCGTCACGAGCGTTTTAGCCGGGATTTTAATGGAAAGTTTTGGTCGTTTGAATGCCGTCAAAATGTCTACGATTCCAGCGATAATTAGTTGCGTTATTATTGCTCTTGCTTCTGACGTTTACATGATAATCGGTGGAAGATTTCTTTTCGGGATAGCTGCGGGTAAGTTTTTTTTTTTTTTTTTTTTTTTTTTCTCTCAAATTTAATTTATTTTTAATTTACGTAATTAATTAAATAATTTGTATTTTTTTTTTCAGCATTAGGTACGAATCCTGCCATTGTTTACGTAACTGAAATAACATCTCCGGAATATAGAGGTGCTCTTATTAGTTCTGGACCAACTCTGACATCGCTAGGTATGTGGAAACTACAGGATCACTCTTTTTGGTGAGCCTTCGCTTATTCTTCATAACCTTTTAACAAAAAAAAAAAACCTTTCGAGTATATTTAC